GACATTTTCATGTAACAGCTTCGCAATCACATGAGTGTAAAAATAATAGAAAAAAAAATAGAATCTAATAAATAGAATAATAATAATTGATCAGATTTATGTAGCACTTTTCTTACTCAAGGAGTAACTCAAAGCGCATACAATCAACTGTCAATTATTCATTCATACACATTCATTCTGGTGGTGGTAAGCTATGATTGTAGCCACAGCTGCCCTGGGGCAGACTGACAGATATAGATATAGATATAGATATAGATATAGATATAGATATAGTATAGCAAAGTTCATGTTGTACAAAATATTTGTTGGTATTCATTTTCTGATAAGTTGATATATTTTTGGTTCCAAATGCATGAAAAATGTCCCTCTTTTTTTAAAGTTATTTTTTTTGGCCTTTTTGTCTTTATTTGACAGGGCAGTAGAGAGAGAGAGACAGAAAAGTGGGGAGAAGAAGAATGGGGGAGGGACCTGCAGCAAATAGCCTTGGGCTGGATTCGAACCCACGACCGCTGCGTTGGGGACTATAACCGCAGTACATGGGTCACCAGCTCAACCAGTTGAGCTATAGTGGTGGTCCAAATGTCCCTATTTTTATATTTAAAAAAATATCTCCAAAAATAAAAAAACAATACCCGTCACCTAAACCAAATGGCCTGGGATCCAAAAGACCCCAAAAGTCCTGAATAGGGTTAATACTTCCTCACCTGAACCAACAACACCTGTGATTGCGCCAGTCTTCTGTCACGGTCTACATTTTTCTAAAGCCTCAAAAGGAGCCAAGAGGCCAATGATGCCAAGAAACGTATATACTGCCTACCCCAGCATTAACAGTCAATCATATAACTAAATGTGTAGTGTGCACAGCTTGTTGTGATGCCTCAAAAGTGGCTAAAACAACTCAATTAATGCTACGTGAAATTTGTTTGAACAAAAGAATAGTGTAAAGAAGTCATTACTTACAGCTGAAGCTATTTTAGTGTTTGGCCTGTGATGGTATTCAGACGAACAATGTTTTGTTTCACAGCATGACATTTGTAATTCAGATTTATTTTGATGATGTGCATGCAACATTCCATTTAATGTCAGGCCATCCAGAGAACCAGTTGTCTAAGAAATCTTTGAAAATCAGAAGGTGTTGTGTGTCTTAATGAAACTCAAGTTAAAAAACACTATTTCTTGTTTCCTCTCAGGGTGTCACTGCCAGTTTCCAGGCGATCACATTCTACGACGTTGGGACTCATTCAGCACATCGATCGAACAACTTGGATCAGCTCAAGGAGAGTGAGCAGTAATAACCTGAACTCACTTTGCCCTGGATTTGGAGCACCTCGACTGAGTCTGAGTGCTAAGTTGGTTTCAGACATCGTCAGAGTCACATATTGTCTAAAATTTCCTTTAGTACAATTGTGGTCCAGGATAATCTGGATTGGACCTTGCACAATCATAGTGGTTGTGATTGTGATCTTTTGAGTGTGTGAATATCCTGCATGTGCACATATATGCACATTATTTACAGATGGTGGCAATGGAAGAGATGAAATGAGTGAAAGTATGGTTTTAAAAGCACCACAGAGACTGTGCTTTATGTTGTATTGGTATAAATTTCTTACTTTTTCCATTGAAAATTCCTCAATGGATATTTTTGTAATGTATGTTTTTCATAAATGATCAGTTCCACTTTATTTCCCCAGAGAACTGAGACCTCAAATCCTTTTATGCAGCCATAACTCTCTGTCCTCAAATAACTATAATAACCTTGTCATCGGTGAGTGATTGGTTGTTCCAGTTTCACACTGAGATTTGACTCCATACACGTCGTGTGTATCTGTGCATTCCCCACAGTTTAGCAAATAGCTGTGTTTTCCGTTCGGTGGGCTATTTTCACCCTGCCATTGTCACTGTTATCTGGACTGAACACATTTGCGAACTTACACAAAGCACGTGTCATAATCAAGGAGAAAGAGGAAAAAGGGAACAAAGATAAAACAGGTGCTCATCTGTCACTGTCGTCTTGAATGTAAATAAATTTGTGTGGAATCAATAAAACTTGTGCTGTCCCAATACACACATAGAATTAAAGAGAAATGGCGTTCAGATATTTATCATTTTTCAGAAAATCTCTTGTAAAATAATTTCCAGCATGAAACACAAACCTCATGTGTTTCTTGGTCATTAATAGATTATCAGACAACACTGAAGTTGTTGTATGTGTCTTTGGCATCAATTTATGTCTTATTGCGGTTGTCGTGTTGACTTTCCAAACTCAGACTCTGGCTCTGGTTCCCATGGGGCCTCTGTCTGGTAGATCGGTTCATTAATCCAGCCATGTTCCCAGTGTATTGTATTTATAAATAGACCCATGAAAACACGTCCCCTGAAGGACATGAATACAGACTGATTGGCCATTTAGCGAGGGGTCATTTGTGTAGCATGGAACAATTTCACAAGTTGCAGGAAACCATTAAAAAATGCCCACTGCAGGAAAAACAACAGATGTGGGATGCCTCACTGAGAGGAAGAAAGTCTGCAGAAAGATTTTCTGTCATTTATTGTCTTTTCTATACATCAGCTTTTTAGATAATGTGTCATCTTAACTTTATTACAATGTCCACTGTATTTTATTGGATGTCCTTGTCCCAACCTACCGTTATCCAGGAGGGGTTTCTTGCCCAGAAAAGTGTTTTTATATGGAGAAATGCCATCTAGGGTTTTGATCACATTTTTTCAAGATAACATTGAAAATGGCATTAAATGTGATCTTTGCACTGGAGTTAGTTCATGACATGTTGGTGTACAGCACCCTCAAGTGGAGGAGGATGGTCATGATTATGAACGAGTTCATCGTGATATCAGTTCCCTCATGTCCCAATCTCAAAGATTCTGTATTCTGAGTAATTCTGTATTATGGCAAACTCAATTATAAATGGCAGGTAAGTTGTTCCATGATTACCAGGTGGGATCTGACACAAAACAAGTAATTTTTTTTACTGTTTTAAACTGTGACAAGAATCTGTCCTGCTGAAGTAGCATCGTGCCAGGCGTTAACTCACTATGCCTCTAAAAAACAAGGTCTGCATCATGTCAGCACTTCAGGATAAAGACTTCCTGAAACTCCTTCATTTCCCTGCAACGTACAGAGCCTGTTTGTCCTGCAGCCATCGGACTGGGTGACACATCAAGTCCCAAAGACTCATTGTTCATTTACACTGCGCTTTAGTGCGAGCGAGGTCACACTATGCGTTTACATGAAAGCCGCCTCAATTAACATCTTTTTCAACATGTTTGCTCTCTTAAACCTTTAATATGTGTCACCCTCAGTGTGCCGCTCAAAATAAGCACAATGCAAACCTTGCAAACAGTCTATAAATGTACTTTGGATTTCATAATTGTGTTTTCTGTGTGTATATGCAGAATATGACAAAATGTCATGGTATGTCAGTGACTGCTGTTTTCTGAGTATGTTAAAGAAATATGAGTTTTGAATTTTGAGAGCTTTAAAAAAAACAACAAAAAACCCCAAACATAATTAGATTAGATACAGTACCTACAAAAAGTATTCACCCCATTGAAAGTTTTCTCCTTTTATTGCTTTTCCACATTGAATCATGGTCAATGCAATTTCGTTTTGTTTCTTTTTTAATAAGAATTTACAAATAAAGACTCTTTCATGTCAAAGTGAAAACACATTATACAAAGTAATGTCAATATAAAATGTATAAAAAGATGATTGCTGTGATTGAGGTGTTCTTTTGTCTACATCAGGGGTGTCAAACTCATTTTCATCCTGGGCCACAGAAGCATTACTCTCATAAATGGTCACATATGAGAACATTTTGGTCTCAGTCCCTGTGAAAGCACATTGCTGTCTTATAACATAAATAAAATTATATTACGTTATATTATAACAGGTAAATCCTATTATGTATGAGATTAGGAAACACACATCTCTCGCGGGCCAGATAAAATGTTGTGACGGGCCTGATTTGGCCCGTGGGCCTTGAGTTTGACATATGTGGTCTACATAGTGTAGATGCAGACAGGAGCACTGATTCACCAGTATATATTACACTACAATCACCAAACACATTCACTGCATGTAGATTATTTCATTTTCACTAACTGTGTGACTTCAAGCACCAACTGGCTGCAACTGTGTCAGGTGAGTAACTTTAACCCTATTCAGGACTTTTGGGGTCTTTTGGACCCCAGGCATTTGGTTTAGGTGACAGGTGTTGTTTCTCTATTTTTGCAATTTTTATTTATTTTTTAATATAAAAAGAGGGACATTTGTCATTAATTTGGAACCCAAAATACATCAACTTACCAGAAAATGTATTAAACATATAAAAGTCTATAATGAATACTAACAAATATTTTGCACATATTCTTTCTTGGGGTCCAATGGACTGAAAGACCTTCTACGTATGACAATATGAAAGTCCTGAATAGGGTTAAAGGGGGTGAATACTTATGCAATTCGTTGCTTTACATGTTATCCTTTTACTGTTACGATGAGGAAATCTGTTTTCACTTTGACATGAAAGAGACTTTTTGGTCATTTTTTTTTGGTCAAAATGCTTAATAAATTTTAAACATGATTTAATATTGAAAAGCAATAAAATGGGGAAACTTCCAACAGGGGTGGATACATTTGATAGGTACTGTATACAGTATGTGTCGTACACAACTAGATTTGTTGGATAATTTTTACTCCGGTCCTTTGTTCACTAGTTTCCTCCCACAATCCAAAGACATAGAGTTCAGGTGATCAGGAGCAAACTGGATGTGTACACATGTATGACTGTGGATCTGTCTGTGGATCTGATTTTTTTTTAGAAAGTCTAATGAGCTTTTTTTTTTTTTTCTTACATTTCCTGCTCCATATACATTTCTGGAAAGCAGATGTTGAAGATGTGATGATAAGCTTTTCTTCACTGTTATTTTCACAGATGTTTCATTCATTTATAAAGAGGGTCTCAAGACACTGACGCTGAAAAACATTCACTATTGGAAGTAGTTTATGAAATAATGCCTCCAACAACAATGTGAACCAACATAAAACAATGGTAGGCAATCATATGAACCCAAGACTTTTTGATGCAAGTCAACTATTACATTCCTGTTACACCATTTATGGATTTTTTCCCCTATTTGGTATACCCAAATGGAAAGGTTTATAACAGAACAACTGTGAGGGCAAAATGCGTGTGTAGGTCTTGATTTGAAAGGCAAAATGTTACTAGTTTCTGGAAGATTCTTAGTTAGCATGTGACTAAAACAGCCTAAACTACGTTAGTTCAAACGTGGCTCATTTTGCCCTCCTCTGTAATAAGTCATAATTGAATGAAAATAACTAGGACATGGTTTATGCAGGACATATATGTACTTCACCACAGAACCTCTACATCTTGTCAACAACACCTGTGTGAAATTAAACACCTCCAGGCCTAAATAATCATTTCAACCCAAGACTTTATGATACAGATGTCAACTAATGCACTCTCTTAAAGACAGAAAACACATTTTAAAAACAAATTGTCAGTTTATAATTATGTGTGAGTCAACTGTTTAAACTTTATGAACTGGACAGATATGTCTTAAAGGCTGTTTGACCTGAATGTAGAATCTGTTCCCAACACAATATTGGTTTCTTTTTTCCCCCCACAGACATTTTAATAACTTTTGGGACAAAAAAAAACAAAAAAAAAAGCCTCGTAACACTGCGATCAAACGACTCATAACGGTGATTTTTGGGTGAAGCAGGCAAGAAGATATATTTCTGTGTTAATACAATAAATGTAACTGTTAAAAAAGTTTTCAGCAACGCTATACAGCCGTCAACGGTTACAAATTCTAAGATGAGACAAATTTTTGAACACACAACTACACAAAAGCTGTTCGTAACAGTGTCGCTGATGTTAGTTTCTTGCTCCTGTCAAAAGAGCTAACACCGCATTTTAGTGAACAAAAGACATCACGCAAAATACTTTTAAAATATTCCTCTCGAGATTTTAAAAAAGAAAAACTTTTGTAAATCTCTGGCACCTTGTTACTCATAACAAATGACTGTTAAAAACTTATTTAACTTATTTAGGAAACAATACAGTGATTCAAGGGCGCCATCTAAAGGCCATGGTATAAAAACACAGCATCATCACTTCAGGCTTCAGTGTATCACAGTCTTCGATGTACCGCAACTCTCCGCAGAGGAGCTGCCAGCGTGAAAACACGATCTTTTCAGTTTCCCTCTCGTGCTCTGACCGCTTCAAGATGTCACTTCATCACCAAACTCTCACTAATTCTGCTGCAACATGCTTGTTTTTCTTCTCTTATGATGACGGAAAATAACATGCACTTTGGTTCATCCAACTTTTCTCCTAGACAGCATGAAAAGATGCAACTCACTCATCAGCGTGCACCGACACGAATGCTCTTCCTCTTTAAGACTTTAGCTAAACAAACTTGGGAGAGTGACAGGCGGCAGAAGACAAAAAACAAGGCTGCTTCTGGATCAGGTAACACATGGGTGTGAGTCCAGACGGAGCAAAAAAATATCTCTTCCTCAGATGCGATTTATCACGCAAATGACACAAAGAATTCTGGGAAAGCAAAAACAACAACACAAATAAATAAAGACACCCCAAAGCCAGCAGCCAAACCTTTGGCACGACCAGTCAAGTCAGAGAGCGTAGGTACCGTGCATGAAAAGACTTTAAATACGTTCTTCATGTGGCATTGGTAAGAACGACACCTACGCTCCGAGTCTACAGGATTGTCACTTACTGAGAAGTGTCTCTTTGTCCTCGCTAACAGAGAGTCCTCGTTCTCAGGCTCTTGGACGGCACTATGACTTTTCCAAGCTCTGTCTGGTTTTTGGATAGTGCAAATCGAAGGACAACACATGTATCTCTCCCCATTTCCCAATGGGATGACAATGATGGGACACAGACTGCTACCTGTTGGGTTTTCTCAAAGCTTGGTGTCTGTGTTAGACCAGATCGGATGTAAAGCCAGATAAGATTTGACAAAGTGTAATCCCTTCATAACCCTGAATCAATCACGATTACACTGTGATTTAACTATAGCTGATTTTCTCACTCCAGAAGACCTCCTAAACTTTTATATTCTGGATATTTGCTGTGTAAAAGGACTTTTTTTGTTTGTTTTAGCTCGCTACAGAGCTTTGCACCGACAGATAAAACATGCTAAAACTGCTCTACAGGCTGAAGTTTGAAAACTGTTTTGAGGTTTTCATGAAAAGGCAAACCAAAGTGTTTGTCTGAACTCTTATCTGACAGGACGCGGTGGAGGAAAACTTCTTTGGCAACTCAAGAAGAGCAGAGGAACCTTCAGGATACAGAGCAGGGGTGGGGGGAACTAATTATGAGTCAAACACTGAAATCGGTTCTTGAAGAACAGGAGGCCATTTTTCGTGTGTGTGGCGTCAGAGGAAGCTGGCGGATATCGGAACTTGGCGTAAGTCTTGTCGCTCTCTGACTGGCTCACCCAGGGAAGTCTGATTTTGGTTGCATGGTTGACAATGACATCGTCACAAGAGCCCACGTGGAGAGAGCCCAGGCCATCGATGAAAAACTCTGGAAATGGAAAACAGTCATTCAGCCAAATATTTTAAAAAAACTCATAATGTACAGGAAAATGTTCTATTTGATTTGATGGAAACACTAGTCCCAAAATAAATTTGCAAAAGAATTTGGGTGGCTGCTAATCACTACAAAACTGAAAACAAAACACAACAAACCAAAAATGGGTTTCATATTCTCCCTCTTACAGTTACTTTAATCCTCTAAACACCAGGCAGGTAAAGAGGGCTCTAAAATGTCTTCTGTGCAGTACGACACGGTTTTAATGGCATAAATCAATTTAAAAATATATTATTATTGTTATTATTATTATTATTATTTGACTGTTGGTCACAGCTGAGTCACAAATGGCTTCATGGTTCCACCAAGACCTTTAGAATTTTATTTGTTCTATAGACTCTGATGGGTGCACATGGCCTGTTTTTGGAGAAGTTTTAAATAAGACATGTAGAATAAAATGATATTGATGAAATATCACAATTTTAAGCTAAGATTTGATAACGTTCTTAGTCAGAAAGGTGCATCACAGATAATATTATGATAATATAAGATAATATATTGTGATAAATTCTGCAGTTTTGGGTAATTTTTAAAAAGACATGTTTTTCAAACCTATTTTGCATGTGCACTTGTGAGAAAATAGGACTTGCAGAATCTATTGCTATTTCAGCTCTGATCAATGTACCTGCATGCTGCTGTATCTACTCTATGTAAGTGGGGTTGAAGATGACTCTGTCTGACCTTTTTTCCTGTACTCACCCAGGTGAGCTACCCTGGCGAGTCGAGGGTCAAAGCCGACCTGCTGGACTTTGTCGGTTCGAGCCAAGAAGAAGTTAATAACTCCATCGGTTACAACGCAGTTGGGAAAGCCCTGGATGACGTGATGAAATCCTCTCCTCATGTGTAAACAGTCGCCATCCTCCTCTCCGGGCTCGATGGAGATGGTCTGTCTGTAGGTGGCAGTATACCCTGTGGCCTCCCGCACTGCACCGCCCACCTGAACGCAAAAAACACACACTGACATCTCTGCAATAAGGCCAGAATGTTACAAGTCATTGAGAACAACAGTTTGCTGCTCCGTCCCTCACCAGATCCAGAGTGGTCCTTTCCAAAACATCGACAAGCTTTTCCAGCTTGGTGTTGGCTGTGAAGATGAAGTCGTCGTCCACCCACAGCACATACTTTGTGGTCACCTGGGAGACGGCCAGGTTTCGTCCAGCGAACCAACCCTATGATCCAAAACATCAAGGCTGAGCTTCAGAGAGCATCAACAACGACAGCAGAGAGATTACAAGACTTCACTACTTCTCTACCTTTCCAAAGGGCATGATGTAATGTTCGATGTAAGGCCCGGAAATGGTTTTGGGATTTTCACTGTCATCAGCGATTACTATGGTGACAGTAGGATAGTATCTCCTGACGCTGTCGATAAGATCTTGAAGCTTATCATACCGCAGGAAAGTCTTGGTAGCTATGGTCACCAGGGCGCTGACGTTGTACTCTGCAGACGACAGATGGAGGAAATCTTACTTTTATTTTTAGCAAGCACTGTTACATAAGAACAAGCAGACATATAGTTCAGCGGTGAGGTGTTTGACTTTGGTTTGGTTCTGTACCCCCTTTGGATCCAGTGTTGTACAGTTTAGGTGTGACACCGTGACGAATCTTCACACTGAAGACAGCTTGATGGCCCTCTGTCTCAAACTGCACTAAAAGACACAAAAATAAATTTGATTAGGATCAAACTGCAGCTAAATCACTCCTGTGGCTCCCAGTCAAACATTTACACATAATTAAACTCATAGTGTATTAATTACTGTGAAAATTGGAACTTGGCACATGAGTCAGGGAGGTAAATATGGACTGTGGTGAGCGCGTGTTCTCAGTTTTTGTCCCTGTTCGCCATTGTTAACACAGAGGCTGCATTATTAGACTGAAACCTGAGTAGCTGCACAGATTTAATGAACAAAAGGTATCTCTGTAAATATTAGATCCTGCCAGGATGATTATACAACAAGAGGTGAGAGGAAATTTAAAGAGAGAAAAAAAAACAAAATAGAAAATGATCTGCCTTGTATTTTCATTGAATATTGAAGTTAAACCTTTAAAGGTCCCATATTGTGAAATCCATTTTTGTAGTGTTTTGTGGTTGCTATAAAATCCTACATACCAGATATTGAACCAATAGTCGTCGAGCTCAAACTTCCTGCTCTCTCACTGCCTGGTGAGACATTCAGAGTGAGCAGCTGCCTCACACTCCGCCAGGTTTGTTTAGTTTCTAAAGCTTCTTCATTTAACTCTAAAATGTCTCAACCACAAGCAAAAGCACATCAAATGTTCTGCTGTTGGCTGCTAGAGTGAACACAAAAGTCTTGGTGCATTCCCAGCATCTGAGGAATTGAAGATCCAGTGGATTCTATTTTAATATTGGTGGCAATCTCCCCACAGCCACTGAAAATCCTTAGTATTTGCACTATTCTGCAGATAATGTGACACACTTTATCATTGGCTTTGGTCATATGTCCACTTGTAAGAGCTCTGTGGAAATTGTAAAGCTGAGGGACAATCAGCAAAGGTGGAAACTTTTGACACTGATTTGGAACCAGTAAAAAAAAGAACCAGGAGACATTTGTCTACTTCTCTACTGTGCTCTGTGGTCACTTATACTGCATATAATACACTTCAAAGAAAATCACTCTCTCATTTTCTTATTTTTCTCTTTCTGTTTCAATGGAACGAGTGTAAAATCGTAACAGAAACGCAGCACATTAAGACTACACGTTAACCTGCAGTAACTTTCAAAGCTGTAGAACCATTTAAATCCTGATTTTGTAAATGCAGTGTTACCTGAGAAACAAGTTCAAAACAACAGATGTGCTGTAAATTCTGTGGTACTTTCTTTTAAAATGAAGAAGAAGTTAAAGGCAATGGAAAGTCATTGTCTTAATATGTCTGTATCTGCTCCCCTGTGGAGAATGATGCTTTTACACATTAAACCAGAAAGATATAAAATGTGAATTAATGAGCTGTGAAGGTGTAGGGAGTTTTGTTTTGCCATCAGAACTAAGCAACTGTTTCTTCCAATTTCTATTCTTTATGATAAACTTAACTCACCAGATGTTGACTGTACATTTATATTTAACAGTACAAACATGGGAGCGATATCAGTTGTTTCCATCTAATTTTCCAGAAAGTGAACAAGCATTTTTATCCAAAACATTGAACTGCTGCTTCAAATCACATTTAAAAAAAAAAATCAAATAGCACGAGGTACTTTACTTCACATGCAAACTTTTATCTCCAGTTTTGTCAGACTCTTTTTAAACAGTAAGAAAAAAGGACGGTTGGTTTGTATTTGAGGTCCCACCTGTGTCTGCAGTGCTGGGATGAAACAGCGTGTTTGTGTAGGTGACAAACTGCAGCTGTCGGTTCAGGTTCGGCAGCAGGATGCTGGAAAGACTCATGTGCATCTCGCCATCGCCTTTGATTTTCACCCCATCTACCTCTGCTGCCACATTTAGCGTCCCCAGCGTGGCAGTGATGTTTATCTGCAGATGATGGAAAGCAAAGTAGGTGGAATGAGAAGGCTGCATATATCTAAAATAAGTAAAAGTAAATATAGACATATTGAAATACTTACTGAGTAATGGTCTCTGGGAAGGTCGTGTAAGGCCAAGCCTGGAAATATTGAGACAGATTTAATCCATTTCCTGTGCACAGATATTGGAAAAATATGTGCCTCCCTAATGCTACAAACTCTGCTAAGTGTTTCTTTCAAGAGTCTGCAGTTGTTTCATTATACACACACACACACACACTATATAAGCCTTCAGCTCACCACAGAGTATCGTGGTAGTAGTGCAATAAAACTACAAATGTACAAAACATATGCTTCAGTCATTGTTGACTAGCACATGAATATTTATTGCTTTGATCTAAGTCACTAGATTTCAGCTCAATTGCTGGCATACAAATGAATATATCAACAATTAATCAAACTGTATTGATACTGCACTTTCCAAACAAATCAAATGCAATTCAAAGAGCTTTGCAGGTGATTTAATGCACAGAAAATCAATAACAATTAATAAATAAAAGATAATACAAGCAATAAAAATAACAGTAAAAAAAAAAATCATACAATGAAAAACTGCATGCAAAAGATTGGTGATTGTAAAACTGTAACCTGGTTGACTTAAAGTAGAATTAAATAAATATTAATGAGGATAACATATTTAAATAAAAATAATGATAAATGCCAAAACCATCAAACATATATAATGTGTATTTTCAGCTCCTCTAAGGAGGGCTGTTGCTTCAGCTTTGGAGCACAATGGCCAAAGCAGCATCGCAAAAATGTTTTTGTTCTGCTTTGTGGAACAGATGAAAGAGAAGAACCGGAGGATCTGAGGGACGTTTCTGCTTCAAAGACCAACAGCATTTCTGAGAGGTAGCCTGGTACAAGGCTGCATAGTACTCTAAAAAAAATCAACATGCAAAGTAACCAGTGCTTATTAGTTCTGAAATAACTTTAAATATATGATGTAATGTAATAAATGTTCATTATAGTGCTGAAAATTCTCTGTGTGTCAATGTGTGTGTGTGTTTGTGTCATACTTGAGTGGAAGTGACAAAAAGTGAGACGATCTAAACAACATTAGCGTCACGATGAAACAGGGTTCTTGTGCTGGTTACAATCCGATGCTTAACTGATGAACCAGTACATTCTGAACTGATTTATTCAGTGACCATGGATTAGTTAACTGTTAGTCAGGTTTTGTCATTGTCCCTTTTTGTTTTCTGGATTTTATTTTTTCTTCCTTTTGTTTTTGTTTGTGCTAAACACATTTAAAATTTCTCCTCACTCCATACAGCTACTTGCATTAATATATCGTAGAATTCACATTTACCATACATGAACTGTGATGGAAAAAGTGTATTTTACTGGGTTTACGATATTTTACTGCTGACACTAGGTGCATTATTCTTTTTCTTATTTCATATATTGACTGTGTGCTCTTTTTCATGTAAAAGGTTTGTCTCTCACTCACTCTGTTTATGCCTTATAGCCAGCTTGACCTGAGGCCTTGGAGTGCACAGGAAGCCTTGTAAGTCTGTTGAAGGCTCACACAAAGAATCCATGGAGGCCTTGGAGTGCCTCATTAGTGGATAAAGCTCTGACCTGCAGTTAGACTCAGACCCCAGAGAAACTGACCATCTGTTCTCAGAATTTCCTGTGGACCCATAAGAGACGTGTCCTGCGATTTCACAATAGTGAAATTGTACTTTATCTGACTTAAATACTACTTTGTTTTGGAAAGACCATGCAAGTAAAGAGAAAATGGGTTCCATTAGAAGTGACGACTTGCTCATACAGCGCGCCTCATGAGTTGGAGTGCCACAGGGGTATGCCAAAAGAGAAAACCTTGAAGGCAGATAGTAAAACTGACTGTAGATTAACCCAAAAGGGCAATCATGCAGTTCTTACATTTGTAAAAATGCTTTGTGTGGGCCTTGAAGAGGCAAGATAAAGCTGCCTGTGCACTTCAAGATCTCAGGGTCAAGCCCAAACAAGAGCAGATGAGAGACAAACTATCACACAAGTGCGCACACAGTCAATATAAAGTGCCTTTCAGACATGCACTTTCTGTTACTCTGATAGCAAATGAACTTGTTGGTTTCATGTCTGAATGAGCACCCTGCTCACTTTTCTGTAAAAGTTGTGTCAGCAGTCTTAAAAGCCCATACCTAGCAACATTTCCACCTCACTTTCACAAAATTGAACTGCAAGCCATCACATTAACGAAAAGACGGAAAGACACACACAAGCAACGGCTCTTCAAGTTGTGCAAGTGATACAGGAAAGGCTTTTTCCACATTCAGCACCAATGTTGGTCCAAAAACATCACAGAGAGCGCCAAAGATACAGTTTGTGTGAAAAACACAACTTGCTAATTCATTCTTCCTTCAATTTTACTTCTGTTGCAAACTGAAATGCCCACAAAAATAAAACTTCATTGTCATGAAAAGAGAGACTAACAGCTTGGATCAATAAAACATGTTGAATAATAATGTAATGTCCTTTTTTTTGAGACAAAACTTAATCTAAGTTTGCCACTTCCATCCATGACATGGAGACAGGATCTAACAGCATGTCACATTGTTACTTTTCTTCAGTTTAGCTGTCCCACAAAGGCTCACAGTTTATTAGCTACATTTAAAGCATTTGGTACATCCTAGCCATCCTTAGGTTGAGTGAGTCCTATGAGATATGCAAAAGAATCACATGCCTTTTGACAGCAGTAACATACAGTGAACCCAGTATAATACAGAACTTCCATCACAAAACCCAGCTCTGGCTATTTCTACCAAGTAGATTTTCTAACTGTAGTGATCCGTTTTAACCATTTTTACATGCCATACATTCACAATAGGACTTTTGTAAAAAGAAATCTTACCTGGGATGATGATTGTTTTCAGGGGTCGTACTTCCACCCCCTGTGTGGGAAACTGTAAGGGACTGTTAGCCTCTGCAATAATGAGTACGTCTGCAGGTGTCTTTGACCTGAGGGGAAAGGTTTTTTTTTTTGTTATCAGGAAGCGACATAGGCTACACATTCACAAACACAGACAAGAATAAAATGAGTGGACAAATATGCTTAAAAATTCAGTGTGTTTTGCATGAAGTGTCTGGCGCACTGGAGGAATGAGTTTGCCATTTTGATTGCATTGCTGCATTGCTGTGTCTTCTTGATGAGATGGAGGTGGAATAATGAATCCTGAGTGGCACCAAGCTACAAAGTGAAGCAGTACAGTGTTTGAAAATGGTGATGTGAGGGAAGAGATGACTTTGTCCATGTCAGAGAGAAAGACAGACAGGTGATTGATAGCTGATTGAACATATGAATGTCTCTATCTTGAATATATAAAAACATCATAATTGCCAGAGTATGAAATGTGACATCTCCATTTCACGATGCTGCTTACCTCTTCTGAAAGCTCTTGTACTCTTTGGCCCGTCTCCTCTTCATTTCCTCCAGCTCCGAGGCTTCAAAGGCAGTGTGCAGCGGGTGAGCTGACACCCGCGGGAATAAGAGTTGGGCGAAGGGCAGGTTTACTCCTCCACTTTCTCCCTCACATACGCACCCATTACGTGCAAGCAAGCTGGACAGATTATGAGACGCGTAGAGTCACGTTTTAACTCAGGTTTATTCTGCAAAGGAGTCTACAGTTAAAATAAACCACCTCTTACCTTGCCACGCTATCCCTCACATGAAAGGGGATATTGCCTAAATGGTGGTCTGGTTCTGGGAGCCTCTCCTCCAGATGTCTTTCTACTAACGGCCCCGGTCGCTGCCAAACGTCCACCGTGGTGTAGGCTCGAGTCGGCCATGAATGGAGGAGAGCCAGTACGAGCACCACGGACACCAAGATGGCGAGCAACACTGTCTTTCTCAGGGACCGCATCCTAAAACCTGTCAGATACATATGTTGAGTGACACAGTGGGTGCTTAGTTAGTCTCAGTGTGCGAAGCTCTGTTTTTTATTTTAAGATAAGACACATACAGCAGTAATATTTGATTCAGCTTTTAATTATCATGACTACTGTAGAAACTCGTTCCTTTGCAACAGCTTGCTTTAAGACGTGGCTCTTTGACTATCTTTTTGACGGTTCCCAGCTTGTCATGTCCTTTTAGGGTCTGACCACTTGTCCTTCTGCCAGAGACTGCAGTAGGTGGCTTGACTTGTCGTAGTGGTGCTTTAAAGTGGCCTTCTTATTGAGGCGTCGGGAGTGGACTTGCTGGGTGTCCCTTGGGGTCGGTTCCAAAGTCTTTAAATTGCTGACAGGTGTATTGTCTAGCACTGTCAGAAATGAGAGTGTGTGGTGTTTCATGAACTGAGAAATGTCTTTTCAGTTTCCTGATCACAGATGTCACTGTCAGGTCACAAGGGAGGTCCATCTCAAACCATCCAGAATATGAATCCACAAGCACTTGGTAGCCTTGGCCGTGCCATTCGAAAATGTCTGTAGTCACTGTGGACCATGGGACATCTGGAACTGCGTGAAGGTGTAGATGTTCCTTCTGTTGATGAGGCTTTGTGCTGTTGCACACGACATACAAAAGCAATTCTTCTGTTATGTCGTTTGACAGTAGTGGCCAGAAAATGACACTTCTTGTCCTGTGTTTGGTCGCTTCTACACTTGAGTGTCCTTTGTGTACAATGTTTATGTACTCCTTATGCAGAGACCTGGGGATGACTGCCTTGTGGCCTTTCATCACAATTCTATCCTCCACTGTTAGTCCATCTCTGTAAGCGAAGAAGGATCCAACAGCAGCCTGAAGCTGGTTCTGTCTGGTGGGCCATCCTCTCTGGATGATGCACTCAGGATTTGTAGTGTCTCATCCTCTGCTGTGTGCTTTTTGAGTTCCTCCAGACGGGCTGTGGAGATGCAACTCACAGAAATGACTTGAAAAGCATCACCTTCAGCAGGGCTCTGGGAGCCCTTGACATAATATCTGCCAAATACAAATGTTTGGCCTTTTTGTATACCAGGCTGATGTCGTAGCTCTGCAGCTGGAGTAACATTCTCTGAAGGTGGGCAGGGGCTGCATGAATGGGCTTCTTGAGAATAGTCACAAGAGGTTGGTGGTCCATTTCCACTATTGTGGGCTTCCCGTACACAGTGTTGGAATTTTGTGCAGGGAAACACAACAGCCAGAAGTTCTTTCTCTATTTGAGCATGCCGTGTTACAGTTTCTGTGAGAATGCGAGATGCAAAAGCAACAGGCCTGCTGTTTTGTATGCATGTAGCTCCAAATGATGCATCACAGGTGAGCGTGACTGGTTCTCTGATATCATAGTAAGTCAGCACAGGAGGGCTTGACAGGCAAGACTTAGGCGGTCAAATGCCTCCTGATGCTGCTAAAACCAACACCACGCGGTCTCTTTGTGGGTCAGTTTCCTCAGTGCAATGTTACTGAAGTTTGGAATGTACTTGCCAATAAATTGATCATGCCAAGGAAGCACTGCAGCAACGTAACATCAGTGGGGACTGGCATGTCAGTGATGTTTTAGAGGGGTCTGCTTTAAGACCTTCGCTCGTGAAGATGTGGCCTACATAGTCGACCTGGTCCAAGTGGAATTTGCATTTGCGTGGATTTAACCTGAGTTTGACCTCTTTTGCTCGTTCAAGCATTCTTTTCAAGTTGGCATTGTGTTCAGCTACCAACAATGATGCCATCGACAATGACTGCACATGGATAGCCTGTAAACAGCTGATCCATTGTGCGCTAAAATACCTCGCTTGCAGAGCTGATGCCGAAGGGCATGCAAAGAAATCTGTAGAGTCCAAAAGGAGTTCTGAATGTTGTCATCATTGAATATTTCTTATCAAGGCGTATTTGCCAGAAAGAATTCTTTGCACCAAGCACAGAAAACACTGTTGGCCCTGAAATTTCTGCTGCAACCTCCTCAAGACTCCGCATGGGGCGGTGAGGCCTTTTTCGTACTGTGTTGAGGTCCTTAGGGTTGATACGGAGTCTGATGTCTTATTTGTCTTTTTCATGTGCCGCTACCATTGATGAGACCCAGTCTGTGGGCTCACTGACTGGAGTTATGACGCCAATGCTTTGCATGCGATCAAGCTCAGCTTTGACTCTTTCTTGCATCGCGACTAGGATGCAGTGTGTTGGTCTGACTACAGGCTGTACATCAGGGTCCACTGTCATGGAGTATGACACTGGCAGTTCTTCAAGCTCGTCACTGAAGAGGTCTTTGTACTGTAAGAGTGTCTGTGAGCTGAACTCCTTGCTACTCTCCATGGAAATGGGATGGACATCAGGGCTCATTTTCACAATTCCCATGTCCATGCAGGCACAGAATCCCAATAGTGATGCCTCATCTTCCCATACTGGAGACTGATCCACTGTCCTACATGTACAGGCTGTGTTAGGCCTGTTCTGGTTCTGTGGCCTTGACTTGCAGCACCTCTTGTGGTAGTTCATTTTTTTTGTTATGACATTGTTGTCCAAAAGCCGGACATTTTTCTCACTTAGCTGCGTGACTGTTCCCACAGTTGTTGCACTTTGTGATGATCTGCGTGAATGATTGTGGCTCTGGCTGGTATTTCTTGTTTGAAACTGGCCTTATTACATCAACACTGGTGCTTTGTGTGGCCAGTGTCTTGCTATTTTCTTCAGTCATCTCGTGAATGCCACATACTGAAATGACCTTAAAAAGCATTAAGTCACCATCTCTCAACAGAGATTTTCTTTTAGTCACTGGTAATGCCACACACAATCCTATAATAGTTTTTTTTATTCATAAATCAAAATTCCTGAAGGTATAACCTAGATTTACTTCATAATGAACTTTTTTTTTACATGTCAAAGTCCTCAAAGTTCTGAAAATAAAATTGCATTACAGTTCATAAGCAGTATTGAAGAGTATGATTTAGAAAATAAGTCCTAGTTCTTCTTTCATTCTTTGTTTGTATTTACGTAATTCATCTTGCTACTTTGCATTTCTTATGCACTTCTTTAAGATGCACCTTTGTCATTGTTATTTAATTCTCCGCCATGCTGAGCTGTAACAAACGTCAGCCATTTAGTCGATTGATCTACAGATACTATTAAGAAAAGAAAACAATTGAGAAGTAGCCTCTGCTGCTGCTTTCAGCACCACAGACGATGAGGTTTCTGCCTCTGTTTTGTTTTACTGCAGCTGTAATCAAGGAAAATTGTCTTTTTTTCTAAAGTTCGAGCTAAAGTTTGCGACACTGGTCCGACTGCTTTGATGATGAGAACAGCATGCATACCAGTGAATCAGCAATTGATCCGGCATGAGACACACATCCATAATCGCTTGATTTTCATTCATGGCAAAAAATATCATCGTATTAATACTTTTGAGCCGACTCCCCCCCCAAAGAGAAGACAACTTCTACCTGGTTCCTCTGTAGTTCACGCATGTAATATTCCTCCTGTCCACACCTTGAAGAAACGGCAATACAAAGCTCCAGTATGACCTTTAGGGACAAAATCCGATCTTTAAAGATCCATTTTAGGGTCTAGATGAAGTTACTGTGATGCTTCAGTAGTCTTAGTTAACCAAATCAAGCAAATAAAAAAAGTTACCGTATAAAGTTTAAAACTCTCTGCTATTACCCCTCCAGTGAAACTCAGTTCAGCCCACTGAAACGGAGACAGAAAACATTTAACTCCTGAAGCCCCACATCAGCTCCGACTGAAATTTAACAAACTGTGTTGCTCATCATCTAATGGAAGCAATGGAAAAGATCCATCCCTTAAATTCTCATTGTCATGGTTGCAGAGCTGTGGAATGTGTATATGTGTATGCATAGAGGGTGGGAGGGACTGGTTTTCTTTTACAATATTTTTGTACTATGTTGTAATGTTTTTAAATGCTGTAAAGCACTTTGCGTTGCTGTAGTGTATGAGAAGTGCTATACAAATAAAATCTGATTTAAATTTGATTTGATATAACCTCGTAAAATGCTCTGGTGGCTAAAATGTAGTCAGAACGATAACCTGCCATCAGCAATATAAAGCTTCTGTTCTGAAACACATTGGATTTCACCACCTCAGAACATTAGTTTCAAACAAGCAGATCAACAGCGACATTCATGTTGCCACAGATAAAAACACAAGCAGCCCAGCATTAGCTGGATTAGCAGAATGAAGCTACTCTGTCCTGTAACATTTAAATTCAGCATTTTAATAGTTAATAAAGGGGAAATTTAACATCTGGGAGTTGTTTTTTCCCCTCCTCTCCATGTCTCCTCCATTTTTTATTCTATTCCATTCTTTCGTCATCACTACTAAGAACAGATGCTTGATTTTTCAGAAGTTTGCCACCACACAATGACCTCTTTCTCTTTTAGCTGAGACGAACAAAAACTTCATTTTTTTACTGTTTGTGTGAGTGTGTGTGTGTGTGAGTGTGTGTGCGTGTGTGTGTGTGTGTACGTGCGCGCACTTGAATTCCCGTTGTTGTGGGGACTCGACTCCTGTTTAAAAGTAAATCTCCAAAGATAAATATTTAAATTTCAGGTTGGTGACTTGGTGCATGGTTCGGATGAGGAAAGTTGTATTTGAATGTTAATGTAATGTCCTCTGAAGTGATGGAAACATGACTCTGTTTGTGTGTGTGCAGGCTTTGAGGAGCTGCTTGTCTCGCTGAATCTACAGCAGTGGTCTAATCTCACCAGGCACCATTGATACAGCATGGAATGAACCATCCTTAACCATTTAGCAAAATGAACTTCCTCTCTGCAGGTTTAAGAAGTATTTATTGGAAAACATACCTCACTGCCTCTATCCAGTCATTGAAAGGACGACCTCTGTAGGCACCTGCATCTCCAGAAACCATGTAGACAGTCACAGAAACGAGTGAGCGCCTTCCCCATCTGGAAATGAAAAAAGACAAAAATAAGGGATCGTAATATAATACAAAGGTAAAAACACATTGTAATATACTCAATATAATATACTTGCTACATTAAAAAATAACCTAATCTTAACTAATATGGAACAGAACATGTGCTGAGTTGGTTTGACCCAAGGGCTGTTTTTTTTTTTTTACCATTGAACTTGCAAAACTGAGCCCCTCCGTGATCCAAACTAATGGGTGAAATTAACTATCTTGTCGTGTCAGTTATTACCCATTTCCAGGGCTATGTCCTGTCTAATTACCTTCCTACTTTCATATATGAAGAGTTCATTTGCAAAAACAGGCAACTCCTTTTTTGTAGATTTTCAGAAAACGTATTTTTTTATTGTTTGCTTGAGATAATATCAATCAAACTGAAGTTGAGTGGATTTGACTCAGTAGAAATGACACGACAAAAATAGAGATAACTTCAATTTGATTGATATTGTCTCAGGTAGATGATGGAAAAGTGGGTTTTCTGAAGGTTTGTGAAGATGGACTTATCTGTTTTTGCAAATGAACTCTTTATATATAACTACTGCTATTAATAATAATGCTATCAATCCATTAATTTTTCATTTCTGCTTTATCCTGTGGCTCGGTCGATCGCAAGGCGAACACAGAGAGACAGACAACCATGTACAATAACAGTCACACCTAAAGTCAATTTAAAATCATGTATTTCAAGTATTTCTCGATAAAACTGACTTTAACTGACTTGACTTTACCTGAAATAAAAAGTGTAATTTGGAATCAATTGAACCACGTGATGGTGAGATAAGTCAGTAAAAAGGAATGTAAAAATAACTTTAGAAAACGCAATAGTAAGCTATCTATACACAAGGTCATTATTTTATCTCACTTATCACACTCATACGGAAATTAAAAGATAATGAGTTATTGTCTCCTGTAATAAAAAAAAACTCTTACTTATATACCAACATGATCCCTCCTGAAATTTTAGTGATATAACATTTAGACTAAACTATTACTAAAACCTACTAAAGATACAGGTAAAGCATCCGTATTAACCCACCATAAAATCCTACCTACCCTATGTTGAATAGAATAGAATAGAATAGAATAGAATAGAATAGAATAGAATAGAATAGAACTTTATTGCTCCCTTTGGTGCAAACCTTAGGGAAATTGTTGTACTAGAAAAAATGTCTGAATGTGTTTGAAAATGTTGTTTGAACCTCTGACTGCAAGAGAAGGATCTGGAAGGTCTGACAATGGACGGGTGGGAAAATGAGTAAAGGAACCATCTGCAGAGTTGTAGACGAATCCCTGAAATCCTCCTCTGAACCAGCATGAACAAACTGATTGTGCATTTACTGAGCAGTTTTAGAATCCAAAGAAGAGCACATTCCTTCGAAAAGGAATCAGAACCATTGCATCATCACACAAAGATGCAGTTGAGTGTCCATATGGCGCTTCATGAGCTGCTTGCATGGTCTTTCAGCTATCCAGGGAATTCCTGACAGATTTGGGGATGACCGGTTTAGCTTTATAGTGGCAAGATGGGGAAAAAAATCAATACAAGAGAAAGCATGGATCAGCACTGGGCAGCCAACCAGTTGGGATATTTCAGGCCTGTGCACTTACACATCTCTTAAAGGAAGCGACTGGTCTGACTGCTCCTTTTAAAAACACTTCCTCTTATATTACACATGTACAATACACCGGGAGCACAGAACTGATACATTATACATTCTTATCTTAACCAAACACATCCGTGTATTTACAGAAACAATGCTGTTACTTCTTTCACAAGTTTGAAAGAGAGGACATCTGATCTTTTAGGCAGCTGCTCTCTAATGTATCAGATAAGATTTCACTCACAGATTGAATCTTAAATTCTCCAATTAATTTATCTCACTTGAGGAAAAGGGAGCGTTTACAGTTAATCCAGTAACAGAATAAGAATCAGGCCTTTACTCAGCTCAACAGCCTTCCTCTAGACAAACTGAGACTACTAATTCATCTGTGACAAACAAAGGCAGCATTTAACACAGACACAATATGAAATGGATCAAAAGGCATAATAAAGTAAAAACCTGTTATGTATCAGAGAGCTGCTGAAATGTGTGCTGAAAAGCGGAGGACTGGAGACTGGAAGATAACTTTATTTAAAGACAGGATTTCTCCCAGATAAGACCATAAATCACAGTGCTGTGTTTTTGCTCAACCCAGCCAATACAAGAATGAGCTAAAACACAAACCAACGCTGCTGAACATGAAAAACAGGATAAAAAAAATGAGGGAAGGAATGCTGTAATAAGTAAAGCTATAATTCAAATAACTGTGGAAAAATGGTGTGATCTGTGCCCCCCTATGGCTTACATTGGCTGCACCCAGTCTTCAATGTGCAGGTGGATCAACATTTTTCATTTTAAATGCATAATTAGCAGCGATGGTGCAGCAATGATTAGAAATATGCAACCGGGGTGGTTCAACGAGAATAAAACTGGGTGCTGTCAGTGGTGCTGCTGCTTTAATTAACCTATAAACGAGCCTATGGTGAGAAAGGCTGTGGACATGCTATTATGCTCCACTGGTCCCTCCCAAAGTACGCGTGACAGAATTGTTCCCTCACTTGGGCGTCTTATTAGCCTACATTTACACCACCACATCTCCAAACAGAAGAAAAATGTGAACACAATCATTGCGATCCTGCAGTCCAACAAATCCGGAGGAGGCAACAGAAATGCCCGGCTGCAGAAAGGCCTGTTAGTCCTACCTTATCGTGAATAACACTGCAGAAAAAACAAGAAAAAAAAAAAAAAAGCATGCATGCAAAAGCTTGATTGTCTGCCTTATACGCTCGAACACGTCTCCTCCATCACAATCATCTATTGCATTTAGGCATTTTTATCGATGGCTCCAAAAGATCCCCCACGCCTTCCTTCCCACGTTTTGTCCAGCAAATAAACTGTCAAATCTTCACCCAGAGAACTGAAAATAATGCCGACAAAAAAAAAAAAAAAAAAAGCCGTGCTGAAGACACAGAAATGGGCCTTTTATTAGTGCCACAGAAAATCAGCTCACCTCAGACGAGACGCGCTGCGTTAAGCTGCTTCACCTCCCTCCTTCATGGAGCTCTTAATGAATTTGTTCCTCAGCTGTCTTGCAAATGGGATTTAATGGAAAGAGAAAAAGAAATGACCGGATTGGAGACGAATGAGGCGGCCGCACATCACAGCACTGCGGGCTGTGGACGGATGCTCCCCCTGCAGCAACAGCGAAGAGACGCACCGCACCTCAGCGCAGCGGTCAGTCAGTCAGCAGCAGCAGCACCGCGGAGACATGCTATGATCACACGATTCATGATTTTATTTTCCACACAGACCCTAACAACTAAACCCCGCTTAAAGGCATCAATGGCGTGTGCGTAAATGTGTGTGTGTGCACATATATTTGTGTCTGGTATCATGTGTGGGAATGTGAGACTTAAAAGGGAGCCTCACACTGGCTAATTTTGCTGTTATTCAGTTTAATACGTGTGCTACTTGACACCTACTAAATAAAGTTTAATATGTGAACCAGATATTTCTGTGCACAGTTTTCTGTTAACTCCAAGGAAGAAAATAAACCGCATGACTGTAATTTGGCCAAATTGGATGGCGACACGCCTCGTCCAACAGGGACAACGCTTCCCGGCGTGAGTTTATTTCACG